TCCAAAGAAAATGCTAAAGTGTCGCGAGTAGGAGAGTTTGCGTCACGTTTTATTCGAAATAAACCTGTTATTGTTACCGAAGAAGCGTGGTTGCTTCTCGAACCTCTAAACCTTTATCTACGGGGGATTTAACAAGGATAATCCCTGCAGTATTAAAGCGGAAGATTTGTCTGGGTAACCAAGGAGCCAAGCGTGACGTAGAGATAAATCGAACGTGGAGTTCAAAGAACCGTCTCTCGTTCGTTCCTGTTACAGCAAAACGAAGCTACCTCGAGTCATGCTAACTTAAAGCAGAAAACAAATCGTGCGAGATATGAAACAGGTGGAATTTCGACAGTCACGATCTAATAGTAAGGAAGAGCTGATTTCTATCGTTCAATGAAACTCAGAATCTTGGGTCCCTTCTTGAAACTGGAACGAGAAACGGTCACATCCTAGATTACAAGTTGCCTAATCGCGAGTGGAGGATTAAACGAACCACGAAACCGGCTAGCACGCAACGTATCGTTTCGTCTGCACCGGCGAAAAGAAGCGAAGGGTGAAAACGCGGGCTAAAACTCCCGCTTAAACCCTCTAATGAATATTGAAACGCGGACGTGAAACTCGCACTCCGCAACGTTAGACGTTCCATTGACGCAAGGCACCCGGAAGTGGCCAGGATTCGGCTGGATGAAAGCGAGCCATCCGGTACAGACGTCGAGGGCAGAGCTGCAGAGGGCGCTGACGCGAGTTCCCAGCCGTTCAAATTTGCACACAGAGGGGAGAGGATCGAGAAAGAGACAGGGATGTTTGCCCCAGCGCTTCGTCGACTCGGAAGGTCCGTGACTTGGTTGGCTTTTTATACCGGATTTCCACGTCCGTCTCGAAAAGCCTGCTCTTCCATCCTCCGGCCCAGCGTTTCGCGAGAAAGGAGAAGAAAGATAATCGCAGAGTCCAGGCTTTCTTGGCTGGCGAGAACTTGGAACAAAACAGTGGTGGAGCACGTTAGGGGAAACGTTTGGAGGAAGAGGTGTTTCTTTCCGTTGTTACGAAGATTGGATAGCCTGGATCTATTAGCTGGAACGCGATTTTATTCTATGCCGGTGGGAACCAGGCTTCCTCCTTCCGAGAAAGGGAGACTGATGGTTATTTTGCAGAGGATTTGCGGGGAATAAAGGATGTTCTCGCGGAGGATCGTTCGTTTGATAACGCGTTGACAAGGAGTCATGCATTCCTATTACACTGAAACATTTAGAAAAATAATGACGGACATATTGTATTAATAAGATTACAAAGTAATCAAACGGTACAATGTAGTACAATGTTTGGAATATATTCGTCGCAAACGTGTATTACAAGTAAATCGTAAAAGAATTGTACAGATAACGCGTAATACATATCAGGAAAGAGAGAAGTCGATCGACGATACAATTCGTCCCCTGTGCAATGCTACATGTCTAACACGGTTCGCCGTCTAACTCACTAGCGCCACCACGGTCCGTAACTCCGTTAAACGCTGTATTTTCCGAAACAGTTGGAAATATTTCAACGCTTGCGGATGTCGCGAGTGTAACAAGCGTGTGTGAGCACGTTCCTAGACATTTATTGCATCTTCCTCGAAGCTTCGCGTGGAATCGCTTGCACGAAGCTTCGCTCCCAGAGCGTTCGATGGAAAACGATCGAAAATTCAGAGGAAAGTGTAGAGGTTTTTTCCTTTGACGCGAATCAGTATGTGCTGACGCGTGATCGCGAAGAACAAAGGGGTAACTCCTTTTCCCCTGGCCACGGGACCGTAAAAAGGATGGAGGGATGGTTGAACAATGAAATAAGCAACTCCGCGGGCAACGCGGAAGCGGATCGTAAAGTCGACTGTAAAACTTTCGTACTCGCCATTAAAATTGCACGGTGCTGTTTCGCGGCTCACCCTCGTTCTAAAACTGCTTAATTAAATCCGAGACTTTGTAAATCAAAACACGTTCGTGGCCAACAAAATTTTGGCCATTTTGTCTGGAAAGCTTGATTTCCACGGTAAAAACTTTCCCTGGCAAATTTGCTTTTGATCGGCACGTAAAAGGGGAAGAAACGAGCTTAGAGGGGGTGAAAAGAATATAGGAGAAGGCTGGAGAAATAAATAACCCCCGTGGAATTTTACACGACGACGAGAAAGTTGAACGTAAAACTGTCAAACACTTAAATAAAATCAACCATGAGTGGGTTGGATTGCTTCAAGAAGGGCTGCGCAGACTTCGAGAGTCACAAGAGAGAACAAATAAAAATGAAATCCGTGATTTTTGAACATGAACATTGAAAATTTCAATAACTTCGTCTGGAAAGAGGAATGAATGACTTTCAATTTGGAATTTTTATTTAATATTATATAGAAATTTATTATATAAAATAATATTTAATAGAAATTAATAATTTCTTTCCATATTTCTACTCATATTTCTTCGGGACAATAGTTCTTAACGATTTAATTGTTTCATATAATTCTAAGAATGTGCATCTTCGTGCTTAATTATTTTTCAGTGATGACAAATGTATTCGATGAAAGTACAGTAAATACACTTGTTATGCTACTTCTTTTATTCGTCGATTCAACCATGATCTTTATTATAATAAGATATTCATGGCCTCGGAAATTTTCATTTAATATTATAGAAAATAATATTTAAATAGAATTTAATAATTTCTTCTCTCTACTCATATTTCTTCGAGACAATAGTTCTTAATCATTTAATTGTTTTATATAATTTCAAGAATGTGCAAATTTGTGCTTAACGACGACAAATGTATTCGATGAAAGCACAGTAAATACACTTGTGCTACTTCTTTTATTCGTCGATTCAACCATGATCTTTATTATAATAAACACACTAAATACACTTGTTATGCTACTTCTTTTATTCGTCGATTCAACCATGATCTTTATTATAATAACAGATTCACGACCTCGGAAAATTTCCATTTTCTTCAAATTTTTTCCACAAACGTGATTCGTGACTCCGAGAAAATGAAGAAACACAGTTTCAAATACGAGAAGCTACACTCGTACAAGATGCTTCGAATCACGTTACTCTTCTCATCCTTTCGATTTTACGTCGTTTCCGGGGGAAGCCTTCTTGCTCGATGGCCTGGTAGATCCTTAGTGAAAAATCGTGGATAGCGGGAAACACGTCGGGGATGCGTGGAGATCTTTTCAACGCGTCAACAGCGCCACTTCAACCCGCATTTCCCGTCCCTTTCGCTTTTCACGAACAGCGATCGACCATCGGCAGAAGGTTGCCCATTCGTGGGAACGTATTTCTGATCGAAATGCTGTCTCTAATCAATGTCCATTAAGCCGCGGAGGGAACGGAAAAAGAGAAAAAAATAATCCCGATCAACCCGTGTCCCGTTGCTCGTGCACGGCTAACACCACCTGCACAGTTTTCGTTTCCGACGTGGATTCCAACGGACGGATTTTCTGATTTTCATTCGTCCTAGCCGACTGATTGCCTTGTCCACTGCACGGCAACCTGTGTGTATACGCAATTTTGATTGTTGCTCCGGGCAACTGCACTTTTCAGCCAAGCTAGAGAACACTATACGTCGAGGATATGTTAGTTAGGGGAAATTATACCGACAACGTTGAAAATTCATACGAAATTTAGGTAATACAGCTCGCATTGTTATCAGTTATGAGGTAACTCTCGACTAAATTTCGATTAAGCTATAATTGATTGTCCTCGAATAAAATTTAATTAATTTCGGAATTCTAGTTGTTTCAAGAAATTGGTATGGTTCATACGCGATACTGAATGCTGTCGAATTCAATTTTCACTTGTTAACTAAATTTCGGGAGTTCCAATTACGCGTGTAACTACTTTGCTTTCATTCTATGTCGAGTATTATTGTATTATTACGTTATCTTCCTTTGCCTTGGTTAAAAGTTGGTTACGCTGAGTTCGAGTGTAATGCGAGGTAACCATAGTTATTTGGCACAATTAACGAAGTCTGCGAATATCTCTGAATGCGTCGAAATCATAGTTAGATAGATATTATAATTAATATGAAATTATTAATATGAAAAGAATAATAAGAACGCTAAACTCGAAAAACTAATTTAACGCAAGAAAAGAACGCTAAAATTAGGTAACTATAACACATGGAAACACATTCTAATTTGACTCTCCCCAACACCGAACGACTCACTACCATGCTGGTCACAATCTATTTCTACTAACAAGGAGAGTACAAGTCTTTAATTAATATTAAAGTTTAATATAATATTAATATATTAATTACAGATTTATTTACAGATTTATGGCCGTTAGGCCTCAATACCACTTGGTAGCTATCGATAACTATTCGGAAGAAATCTCTAGTTAAGAATTTGCTCTCCATGACGATTACGATTTTGTTGTCCCGCGTTTCACCTTCCCGTAGAGACCACGCAACTTAGCTTCGCTACCAAATGTTGTAGTAAAATTAAATAGTTTTCTGAAGACGAATTGCGACTTGCGTGGCCCTAAACAGGCCAGTTCTAACCGTTCGCCCGTTCACTAAAGATCTATACAGTTTTTCCACAGTTTCCAGTGACTACTTTTGCGTTATAAACCCTTTAACACCAAAAATAACCTTTCATAACGGTATCTTTTTCCATTTGCTTCTAGAAAATGTCACGCATAGATCACCGATCAATTTGTAATTAGTTTTTCTAAAATTAAATATTCGAGCTCGAAGCTTTAGGACACGGATCAAGCGAAAATGACAACGTAGCCAGTTGGATGTTCACGAGACCATGTTCGACTAGCGTTTCTCGAGATCAGCTTAAAAACGGGTCAGTCAACCGGTCGTAGACACTGCTGGCGAGATCGCGAGCGGAAGAGACCGGCGACTCTTTCAGCCTGGCGTCGGGAAACGTTAAAGGTCCCTCATTACCTAAGCTCGTTTCGAATTCACTTCTCGGCGCTTCCGTGCTTAAAAATTTTCCACTGTCTTGAACCCTGCCAGCCCGGCCCGTTTGCTCTTGCTTTCAGCTGAAAGCGTTCTACGTCGACCTACTGGTCCCCCTCGAGACGAACCTGGAGAAAGACACCAAGGTCGTCCAGGTGAGCGAGCCTTCGACGAGGCGTCAGATGGTACCGGCGGATTTTCTGAATAATGCAATAATACTTTCCTCAGAGCGAGCAGAAGAAGTTTCTGCAGCAGCACAAGACCAGGTCCGAAACTTACAGCAAAGCGGCGGCCACGATGAAGAAGCAGAGAAAGAAGTCGAGGGGCGCGAGCAAGAGTGGACTAGCCATGGACAAAGAGCTGAAGAATATGCAGATCCTCGAGGAAGAGAAGTCTAAGCTAGACGCCTTTTGTGAACAGAGCTTGAAGAATGTAAGTATGTAATGGACAGGCACTTAGAACAAAAGCTCGCCATACTTTTCCTATCTCGCAATTTCCTCGAGCACTTGCTCGCCGAGCTGTAATAATCCTCGAGCGATGATCGAAGCGGATGGACACGCGTATGCAAATACATGGATCGGTCCAAGGGTGATGAACGAACGAGGACGCGTATCGAGTCTTTTCTCCGCTCTTTTTCCAGGCCATGACTCAGGAACGAAGAAGGTACGGCTTTGTTCTCGAGCGACAATGCTCCTTGGCGAAACATTATGTCAGTTTTCACGAGGTCGCGCTAGCTGCTCTTCATCCCGCCGTTGATCAGTGGCGCGAGGTAGCTGCTACTAGGGAATATTTGCCCCAAACAGTGGAAGACATGTTCGCTTCCAGACTCAGAGTGAGTGACACTTTGAATACCTGCATTTTCCCGCGGAGAGGATTTCTTTTTCAAAGCCTCGGAGAATTTTTGTTACGAATGTCTCGGTGTATACGGGGAAGCAATATCAGCGTTTTGAAATTAAAGGAATTAATTCTGTCTATCTCGTGTTTAGCAAGTCTCGTTCTGGCCAGAGGACGAGGAGAACGGTGGTTCGGAGCTAACCATGAGTTCGCAATTACGAAAGACTAGAAGCATGGACAGCTCTTGCTTGGAGCTCCGACCTGGACCACCTGCAAACGTGCCAAGCACCGTTTATCAAGGCCCGACTTCGCATCTTTCAGCTGCTCTGTCCAGAGCCAGATCAGAGGCCAATCTGCATGCTTCGACGTTGTCTCTGGACCCAGGTAAGATAACTCTCTCCGTAAAAAATAGGAATAATCGCGGCTAAATATTGGGCGGTGAGATCCCAGTACACCTGCAAAGTGTAGAGTCTGGGTGACAAAGAGTCGAAATCTAGATCTTGATTTCGGCGACGTCAACGCGTAGATGCGGGTGGAGAAAGCGAGAACGCGATCCTTTTTATTTCGGCGAAACCCGATGGCCGAGTACGTTCCGAGCGAGTCGACAATGGGGTCGAACACGTAACAAACGAGTGCAACACGACCGGGTGGAGAAGTGCTCGCAAAACAGTTGGAGAGAGCCGGGAGGGCTGTATCGAATATCGAATTCCATTTGTCGACCGTTTCGCACGGTCGCGAATTTTTCCGACTCTCCCATTATCCGCGAGGAGGAAAAATTCCTGTTAATCGAGACACCGATCCATATCGATCGTCGCGCCGCGCGGAACCTTGTAACCCTGCGTGGACAATGGATCCGTCCATCCCTCGAAGCTTATCGAAGATTCTCCCGGCCGATTCGAACTCGAATTCGGCCGTCGGTAATTCCCCTCGTAATTCGAAAAATAACGTTCGATCTACGCGAGTGGGCTTCGGAATAACGTGAAACTTTTGCGCGTGGCGAAAAGTTTCGCGGAGTAGCGGCCCTGCACGGGAGCCAAGCGCATAAATTCGTTGGCAATGAAGCGAGAGCGAAATAGATCGGGTAATGGAGAAAAAAGAGAGGAAAAAAATGGAGAACTTCATAAAAATGTTCAAATAAGCACTTCGCTTCGACCGTGATGGTTTTTGGCCAACGGCCATTCTTTTGGCCAAAATGGAACACGGTGAAATAAAATCACGGCCCGTGACGCGAAATTTCCTCCAACTGTACTCTATTCCGAATCAACCGGCAGCGGTATTCGCGTTAGTGACTCCTTTCGAGTCGTTTTCAAGCCGGAAGTGCAAGCGGTGTCTAGACCAGGGCCCCTTAAACCGTGGGTCGCGAAGATTTTGACAACTGTGAATTTATTTTTGCCCCAAGAAGTAGTAAAATTGCGAGTATATACAAGAAATTAATATCTCGTCGTTATTAGTTCACGTTTCGTCTATTTATTTATTTTACGCTCATTTACCGAATCGTCAAACTCCGTGAAATAGGAACTGCGAAAGTTTACAATGGATAGGAAATACTTTAAACTTATTACTAACTTGTATGTTACTTATGATTAACTAATAACCAATATTTCAACTTTGGTGCGTAGCTCTTAGCTTGGTATCGTTTCCCAAAGGACAATTTTGGGAAACGATACCAATTACCAGGCCTCACCACGAGGAGGTGGCTACGCATCGAGACCCGACATGCGCCCTAATGGCGCAACCTGCTGGCGCTATCTGTATCAAAGATAGCCTAACCTAACTCGGAGCGAATTAAGTTAAAGTTACTCTACTGACACTTTATTTAATTTCGTGTCATGCAAAGGGGAGTTCGCGAATATTCGAAAGACTGACTAGTCTACGCGACGCACTTCCGTGTACAAGACAACTCCGGCCTCAGCACCCTCCTGATCGGGCCTTGCCCACCCTGCCACTGCCGACCTCGCCATGGCTTACTCGATGACCTAAGGCAGCCAACGAACCGGTGAAACACCCAGAGTCAATCCGAGAGTCCTATGCGAGGCCTAACAGTCGGAATCACGCGCATGCTCCATACCCCGGCTCTATGCAAACATAACCACATAGCCGCCAAGTGCTAGAGGGGCAGGCAGGCGCGCTCTTGCAATGATTCCGACTGCAGGGCCCATCCCCCGGTCGTGTGCACGGATTGGCACCCAGGACGACTAAGGTCGACGGACCCTCGTGTTGCCCCAGATGCCTCACCAGCACGAGGGCCACATAATTTATTAATTTTTTCATTTTTATTATAAATTTACGTTGTCAACATTTTATTTTTATTAACAATATTAATTTATTATTAACAATCGGTGTAATAATTTATAAACTTTTTGCAAATTATAGATACATTTTGAGTATACGTTATAAATTTAAATATTAGTCAAAAATTTATTAATTTTTTCACTTTTATTATATATTTACATTGTTAGCAATTTGTTATTAATAATAAATTTTCTTCGCCGGGAGGTGACAAACGAGGAACTCGAGGAACCCCTATCCTAAACTAGGACTTCAAAGGGTTCTGAAAATGAACGGAGAAAAATCTCTACCTCTCGGTGCAACGTTCTAATAAGTTAGTAATTTGGCCCGTGAGCTTCACAAGCACGTATAGAGTTGCGAAAAATTGAAAACTTTCCTTCACCGAGAGATAGCGAACGAGGAACTCGAGGAACCCCTAGCCTATAATAGGACCTCGAAGAGCTGCAAAAGTCCATAGAGAAAAATCTCTGCCTCTCGAAAGCGGAGCGTTCTAATACCCCGACGCCGCATACGAGTTACGATAGAAACGAGCAGGGTTAATCGTTCTCGGACTGGTATTTTCGCAGAGGTTCCGGAAACCCCGCCGAGGCCGAGGTCCATGGCACCCCCGGCGTCGCGCAACAGCGGGAGCGGCGGCGGCGGTGGAAGCGGCACCGGGGTGAGCTCCGGCGGCTGGGGTGATGCACCGTTCGCGAGGGCCCTCTTTGCCTATTTGAGCTCCGGGGAAAATCAGCTGAGTTTCCTGGAGGGCGATCTCATCGCGTTGATGGGTGAGTACCGGATGTCTGCTCGCAACGCCGTTCCGAGATACGCGTCTGTTTCCTCGTGAAATTATACCCGTCTGACCACAACGCATTTTCCCGTCAGATTGCCGGGATACGTCTGGAATTCGTTTACACGGATAAATTCTAATAACGCGCTCCAGCTGCGCCATTATCAAACGCGATTTTAACGCGACGAGAGGGAACACGCGAAATATTCTAACATCCTGTGTTAATTAGCAATGAATGGCGAACGCATTGCGAATAACAACCCTCGTATTTTTCTTCTTTCTCCTATCTAACCGGTCTAATTTGTCACTCGAAATCGGTGTTGTAACAGTAAGACTACAGCAAAATCTATTATCTATTACACTTCCGGTATTACATCTGTTCAGCGACAGGTTTGCTGTCGTAAGACCGGTCTAAATACTATACCGGTTTCGAGTAAAAGAAAATAGTTATCTACCTAAGTGGTAAAAATAGAATATTTTATTAGAATCAACATAGTCTCTAGCCCATAATTAAGTTCCATGAGACATAATTTATAACGCGAGCCACACCCTATAATCCGATATTACGATCGCGATGAAATAATCGAAATGATAATTATTACACCAATAAGTCGATTAGTAAGTTTCCTTCTTTATCAACTTTCGTTCTGGATACCAATAAAATAGTAATTCTAAGTACTTTTGCAAGCTCTTAGTAAGTACATATTTTTGAAACCAAGCATAATTCGTCCACGTGTTTCTTGATATTTTTTCCCCCCAAGGGGCAATAACGATAAATCATTGCTTGGAAATCACGAACCCTAGTCGAACATCGTATTCCCTTCTGTGGCAAGCAAGCACCATAAACGTTATTTCTATTTCACGAAACTACCTTATTAGGAGATCGTCAGAAGGGCTGGCAATTTGGGGAGAATCTCCGCACACAGAGCTCCGGATGGTTCCCACTGGCATACACAGAAATTATTATCGACGATAGTCTAGGGTAAGTTAACAGAGGCAGGAAAGTCTGTGCTTTTGCTGGCCCGAACGATATCGGAGCAGATCTTGTTACGATGTTCGTTGCTAACAATTGCACGGGTCGAATGCAATTACGCTAATCTAGAACGATAACGGGCAATGGGTGATATCGATGCAGCTATTCCCATTAACCGTACTCGTCTTGCTGTTATTGTTGCATCTACTCTCCTAAATCCCATTACATCCATGGTCGATTTACGGCACGGCGATGGAAATTTTGTCACGAGCTTTTAAGTGTCATTTATCAACTCGCAAATTCGTCTCTATATAAATGTTAATTCGACACTCCATCTCGCGAATGATCCTCTTAAACGGATAATTATATAAGATTATGGACTCTTCAAGATTACGTATATTTCTCTTATTTCCTTCAGATTCTTCACTTTCAACACTCGAGAGACGCCTCTCAGTCGCCATTTAATCAGATCCTAAAGATAGACGTTAATTAATATACCAAATTTACAATTACTCAACGATGCGTGGAATATCGAAGTAAAATAATTCTACGTCTTTAATTGCATACGATTTCTTATTTACCGTTTTAAAAATGTCGTCGACCTTATGGAAGAAAGTCTTCGAACTACTAGTTTCCTGAAACGAAAAATTCGTCGAGTGCAAAGGGTTAAGGGAAGAAAGGGAATAACTAGGAAGTCTTGATCCATCAGGATCAGCCATAATCTCGGAGAAAGTAATAAATATGCGGTACCAAGCTAATACCATATATTGTAACATAATTTAAAATAATACCTCTATAGCTAATATAAAATAGAAAATATAATTTTAATATATTTTCTAATTATAATTATTATAATATGTTTATATTGGAAAAGTGTGAAAATACTGTAAATTGGGAATGGAGTGAGAACGATGGAAATAACCTAGCGAGTTTGAAATATCGAAGCTGAAATCGCTCGACACCTTTCTCTTGCTAAAATATACGTAATCAGAGATACGTTTTGTTAGGTTCGATATAGCACTGGATAGAGTGGTCCCTGATAAATGACACTTTTCCGCGTGACGTTTGCAACGATTCGGATTTAGCCAGCGTCGTTAGCGCTATCACTAAAATCGAATGTACAATAATATGTGAAGATCGCCGAGTCACGGAACAAACAATGGTCGCGCATCGGAGCCGCAGGCAATTCCACCCTGTAAGCCTCCACCCTCCCGGCCGCCGGTGACACCGAACAGCATCGACGAAGTGTCGAGTGGATTCCATGTGGTAGGAAACAACAGCGTCAACAACAGTAACAACAATAACAGCACCCAGACTAATGTATCGAACAGCAACAATTCTCACAATTTAGCAACGCCTACTGCACGTCAAACTAAACCGGTGAGGATAATTTCATACTTCATATCGGAAAATCGCTCAATTTACTATATGCAACGAAAATTATTCCACATTTATTCCTTCTTCATTCCAATTTTATTTTGTCGTATTTTTCGATGACCGAATTGCATCGTAAAAATCGGTAGAAAATATTTACATTGTTTTTAAAATTAAAATGGATTTGGGATGTTAGAAAATTCTGAAAATAATATGGAACACTGTTAACGCATTATAAAATCGAAGGTTTAAATTTACGAACAGGACTCGCAACCCCCGTGCAATTACTAAAAATATATACTTGCTTTTCAAAGAATTATGGTTGTCTTATACCATATGAGATAGAACTGTAATTAATGTATTTACTTACATTCACGGTGCCAGTGAAATTACTATTGTAGCGACCAACATTCTTTCTCGCAAGTACTCGGAAAACCTCCGCTTCCTGTACATATAACTTCCGGACCTTCCAATAGTATCCAAGTCTGAGGCACGGGCCTGCCGGGTAGCGTTACTACCGAGTCCGCTAGCAGACCCAGGACCAAACGCATCCCTTCTTCTTCCTAAGTCCCTATTAGCACCACCGCCAAATCGAGGAGGATACTTAAGAACTCCCTTTACTACGTAGCAGTGGTAACCGGAGTCTCAAAACTAAGCGATGATCCGCTTGATCCGCGCGATGGATTAACGAAAGAAGGCCCACCTTTAACACGTTAAACGCTACGCAGATCCCTAGGGACCGGCGCTAGACTTTCCCTTTGGGTCTCGTCGGTTCGTACGGCCCGGAAGGGCTCGAATGACGGCTAACTGTCGCGTGAACGGAGCGACATGGCGTTTAAAGTCTTAAAGGGGCATTTCGAGAAACGGACCACATAGTTTTACGTGAGAGACGAGAACGGCGTGTGAATATCGTATCCAACGGAATAAAGTGCAATCGGCCACCGAGTGATAAACTGGTTTTGACCCAGCCCTCTCTTCTCCTCCCCTTACAATATCGGTATCAGGAGTACATACGTACATATCCAAAAGATAAAGATAGAAATCTCGTAAACTTTCACGCTGAATGTTCCCCAGATCCGTCCATCGGGCACTTTGCCCACTGTTCTGGCCGGTGGCCGTAGGATACAGCCACCTGCTCCGCCTGTTCCACCCCCGCAGGTCGTGACGTCTCTTCACAGCAGTAACGACAGCGGTTTCTCAAACGAACCGCCGGCTCAGCCAGATATCGACTACAGCGACGACGAGGCCATGAGGTAAGCGATCACCACGAAATTTCATCGAAGACACTCTGGAAACTCTAATTGAATTTCGTCGGAAGTAGTTGATGACTGTTGGCAAACCTGTAGAAACGCTTCTGCCTGTGATCTCGTGAACTTCGGAGCTTTGTATTTTATTCCTGCTCTCAGTAATTTTATTATCTTGGTTCCCGGTATCTATCTAACGAAACGTACAATCTAGAATTACATCGTAGAAACCGTAGCTTCTGTTTATTAAATCTAACGTCCTCTTTCCATTAAATATTTCTTATTCATCTATCGTCATTTCCACGAATATCGAACTGTAGGGCTGTGTATAATTACGTGCATGCGTGTAGCTCTCAGACCTCCCCGGACTTTTCGCGTTCCTCTGTCGAAAGATGATCCTTTGCACTCGAATCGCTCGTACGAATTGTTAACCTTCGCGAACTGATGATTCGAAATCGGCTTGACGCTTCGAGTTCAAAGGATTCGCGGGAAAGAATGGCCGAGTTTCGAATTCGATTAAAGATAAACGTAGATCTTTCATTGGCAAAACAGTTTCGCTCGCTCGTTTCACCTCTGCCTCGTTAAGAAACAAAGAAAGAAGGACGCGATCATGTACAACATCCAGCGATACCAAACCTGTAGGCTTGTTTTCAGAGTCACGATGTTGTTTTCTCTCCTGATTTGTAGATTCCGCATGCGTTATCGTGGTCGATGGAAATAAAATACGGCGTGGTGGTGGCTCATTCACCTCTCCGGGCTCCTGCGATGCCAGCAGCCATATTCCCCATCCTCGCATATCGCAATGTCCGCGACCACAAAGCTCGACAGCCGCATAACTAATCCTACCCACGTACTTGGCTCTTGGTTTTTTCTCCATACGCTGCACTATTCCGCTCTCTTCTCTCTCTTCTTTATTTTTTTCTCTTCTCTTCTCGTCTCTCTTACTCGCTCTCTCCTCTTCTCTCGTTCACTTCTCTCTCACTCTCTCTTTCTCTATTCCTTTCTCTCTCTTTCTCTCTTTCTCTCTCTTTCTCTCTCTCTTTCTCTGTCTTCTTTTTTTTTACTCATCCCGAGCCCGCACGAAAACGCAGACAACGGCGAAGAAAGCCGCGTGCCGATAGAATAACCGAGGCGGTGAAGCAGCACCAGAAGGACGAGAAGTCCAACAGCAAGGTCTGGGAGAACGATTCGTGGAAGACGATACCGAGGGACGAGAAGAGCTGGCACCTTTACAGGACCGCGATGGACATTTGGGCGGAGGCTAACGCGAATCAGGGCAACGAGAACGGCGAGACGAGGTACTCTAATCGACATTACAACAGTCAGGAACGCAAGACCGGCAGGGACTTTTCCGAGCGCGGTACCATGGAGAACGGGCCAACGAGGAAATCGGGGAAGAAAACGCAGGACAGATCGCAGAAGAACGAGTACGACAACCGTGGTCGCGGCAATGCCAGCCACAAGAGCAAGGTGTCGAGCAACGAGGAACAATCGAGAAAATCCGGTAGGAGGAACAACGAGCAGGTGGAGCAGGATCGACGGGAGCAGAAAAGGACGAAGGAGCACGAGGAGACAGAGGAGGACGAGATCGAGCTGGAGGAGGAAGAGGACGACGCCTACAGCAGCAGGATCGATTACCAGAAGTACGAGGGAAAGAAGTATTATTCGGACAGAACCGACGGCCAGGAGCGTAACTCGCGTCGCGGTTACCGGCCAGTCGCGCAGGAGGAGTCCAAGTACGAGAACGAGAAGACGTCGTCGGCGTCCTCGTCGGGTACGGACGACGAGAGCACTATCACGATCCCGGAAACCGGCCGGAAGGTGGAGCACATCGCGCAGAAACTGGAGCAAACTGCGCAAAAGTATGCACGGGAGCACAGCCCTCCAAAGTTCATGGAACGAAGGAACGATTACAGGAGTTTAGAGCGGAGAGAGGAGAAGCAACCTCCGCCCCCTTACGAAAGGTACAACGATTGCGAGAGGAATCGTGCGCCGCAGAGGTTCGAGCGCGAGAGAGAACGATACTTGGAAAAGTCGCCCACGACGGTCCAGAAGACCTCTACTTACGAAAGAGAAAGGACTTTCGAGAAGAATCCCGACAGAAATAGGAACATCGAGCGAGCCTCGAGTCGCCGCTTCGAGAGACCCAGACCACCGTCCGAGGAAGCTCCTGAGAGGCCAACGGACTCTCGCAACGCGTACAGAGAGCGTAGGTATTCGGACAAAGAGGAGGCGATCTACGGCGAGACTAGATACGTGCGCGAGAACGTGTCGGTGGACAAAGAGCGTGGTTACGAGTCGAATTTCGAGACGAAACTGGAGAGAACGAAGGTGATCGAGAGGCACGGCTACCAGAACCTGGGCCAGAGCAATCTTCAGAAGTTCCAGAGGAACGGGCCGCAGATCCTGGAGAAGAACGACACGAACAACAACACGCTGAAGGACGACAACCGGAAACCGCTGCTCCCCAGACAGGCTACCGCGGTGGGCCACCTGATCCAGACAGGCAGAGCTTTCGACGTCGACTCGAAGAGTCCGAAGCTCGTGAAAAGAACAAAGTCCTTCTGGAGGTTCAGAAGAGACTCGGACGTGCTGGAGGGTATGGCGCTGTGGCAGCACAGGTCTCTGGTCGACATTCCGAAGATGATCAAGAAGGAGGTGAAAGACGACGCCAATTCTGAAGACACGAAGAAACAAAGTCCAGAGGGCAGCCCGAACTCGCGGCAGAGTTTGGAGAAGAGGAACAGTGACGTGACCATCACCAACGATTCGCATCACGAGGAGCCGAAACCAGCTGAGAGGATCCACGTGCCGGAGAAGTCGGATTATTTCGAGGATTTTCCTACGCCAGCTGAAAGGCCAAAGACCGTGGAGCGGTCCGAGTATCGAATGCATCAGGAGGAAAGGTCTTACTTCATGGGCAACGTCTCGCGGAAGGCGATAATCGAGAAAGAGCGAAAGCGCAGCCTGGAGGCGAAGCGTAACATGATCGTGGCCGAACTGAAGGAGAACAACGAGGCGAAGAGGAACGAGAGGAGGAAGAAGTACACCGACGACGAGGACGGTTTGACCCAGAACTTCAGCGAGACCGAGGCCTCCGACGAGGAGTCCACGTACAGTTGCATCGTGGTGAAGGACCAAACAGTGGCGGAGAAGACTCTTCTTCCGAGAACTAAACTCCGCAGGGACTCCGAGCGGGAGAAAAATACCTGTGGACCATGGTACGACCTTTGGGGAGTGGACGCCTCCGTGAACAAGAAGAAGAAGAAGAAACAGCAATAAATCTATTAAACTCTCTTCTTCGTTCGGACTTGTTCGAATCGGTATCATTGTTTCGGTCCCCCGTGGGCCCTTGGAACGGTTTATCGCGTTTCACGGTTTATTAACGCTACTCCGGCGATCCGAGGATGCTGCAGGTCGGACGAGCCTGAGGACCACGAGATAGTTAACACGCGATTCGTTTTACGATTTTCCCCCCTTAAGATTTTGCTCGTTTTTAAGTTTACCATTGCATTCCAATTTTATTATCATCCCCAGCCTCGTATACCCGATCAATTCGCACCACGAATGACCGTTCGCAAGTCTTCCACGTAGCGCAGTTCCCATTGCTTCTTCGAACGTTTCAGCCTGTTTCTGTTTTTCCAAGCATAGTTACGTATACCGTTTCACGCTGCTTTCGTCGACGCTTCTTTACGACCGAATCAACGTGTTGACGTTAAGCTCGTAAAGTAAATCGGAATAGAAACCAGCGCTTTGGCCCGCCACTCAGACTGCAGCCTGTTAACACGTTCGTCGCCGCGTCACCCATACCTGGGTGACGGATATGCTTCCATGGGGGCCCACGGAATAAACACGGAAATATAAATATAGGGTATGCAAGATAAAAATATTAAAAATATACACAATATACTATACTTTTTATTAACCCTTTGCGGTCCAGTGTCGGCAAATGGCCGCCCAAGCCTTCTTACCGTTGCAAATGGCCGCCCAATTCTGATTACAGCTGCGAACGTTTGTCTTTCCGAGTGATAAGACACGAACGATTATAGCATACTAAACAAATAAATGATGAGAAAATCAGGAGAAACGCAATACAAGAAAATTAATGCATTTGCAATTTGTACGTCGCTTGGTGGAGCAATTAGTTGAAGATTTTCGTGACACTAATTCCAAAAATTCTTCAACTTCTGGAACTTTAGAAAGGCTGAACGGCCTTTCACATATTATTCGGTGAGATGACACAAGGAGGAGTAGAGACTGTGTCAGGAGTAAAGAAGAGAATCAAGGTATTATTGCGCTACTTGTTCGGCTAAACCGGCCTTGCATATAGGTGATTGCTTAGAACGATATAATACCATGCATGAATATAAAACGTGCCACACATAAACATAACATAACTAAATATGTTTTTCTTAGATTTTATTGAAAAGTTTTAACTGTATATTTCTCTACTACGCGCGTCAATACCTCTCGCTCACAGCGACGCTCGCTTGTCGGGCCCCTCCGGGCCGCAAAGGGTTAATTTATATTTAGGATAAAATATTACAATATACTATGTCGCATGGTATTCGTTGAAACGGTGTAATCACATTTAAGGTGATTTTGGACAATTGGAACAATAAGTTGTAACTTTTTCACATTTTTCCACAATTGTCTGTCATATGTCATATGTTTACGAGTAGTAAAACTTTTCCAATTCCATTTGCAAAATGCAAGTTTACTAATAATAATTGAAAACAATTACATCCTGCTGCTCGGAAATGGAAAATTGTAAATAGGGTCCGTTGACCATCATCTAACGTCTGTATTAGACCCCTCCGAATCATCAGTCCGATAACGTTCAGTCTAGCGCTCTGACAGTCACATTTGGGCCCCGTGAAAAGCTCAACTGAATCGCGCTGGGCGACGAACGTGTTAACGCTGATGGGGAAAACAACGTTATGGATGATACATCAATCGTAACTCTTGTTGGACCCGTGGTTACAGGAGGCTGCAATGATTCGTTCGCTCGTCGTGTTATATTTATAAATTTCCGACTCGTACATCCCTGTTAAACTCGGACCATGTTAAATTCGCTTTTCTCGCCGCGGCCTAAATCAATTTCCAATCACCTAAGTAAATTTCCAGCTAAAAATCTCTTTCGTTTACGCTCGATTGATCGCCGGGTGAAATACGCGAAGAAAAGTTTGGGAAATCGATCGTGCGCCCGAGCGATCCGGAATTGAGCTGTCGGTTTTCGCAAATCGTTGCTGTCGAACGAACGCGTAAATAATCGGCAAGTCGCGCTTGAAAACGATCGTATAAACCAGTTTCTGCATTAATAACACGGCAATTCGGGCTCGCGACTTTATGTCCACGTATTCATTCATTACCCGTGTAAATTAGTTTCTGGTTCCCGTTTCAAACGATTCGATATGCGGTACACTGTTGCAACACTCGTTCCAACATTGCACCCGGGAATTGCGAAGAATTCAATTTCGTTCCCACGGTGTTTCATTTCGATATATTTCGCAAGGTGTTTACCGCGTTCGACGTTTCGGGGTTACCTGTCTCTCTCTCTCTCTCTCTCTCTCTCTCTCTCTCTCTCTCTGTCTGTTTTCTTGTCTTTTCGCAGCAAAATTTAGAAGCGTCCGGGATATTCGTCGCAGTGGTAAAAATCTTCGCGCAACCATCTCACGCGTGTACCCCTTGTTCTATTCCTCTGCGTAGCTCGAAGAATTCGTTGTACACCTCGTATCTTCCTTCGTCGCACCTCGTCGCTGTCGTTTGATGAGATCTCAATGTTAAAAAGTGTGTTGTACTCGCGAAGGAATATCTCCCTTTTATTTGTGTTCACGCTTCGCATGAATATCGTGTGAATGTTGGAGATTCACTGTACGCTACCCTTTGTTTCTCCATGGTACCGTGATATAAGTTTATCGAAACAAATTTACAGGTTTTTGCGAATGTTTTGCAGTTTCTCTTGCCGATCGCTGCACGATACCACGTAAAATAACAATGGTATTTTGTTTCATTTAGAAGGAAACAAATTTTCAGGAAACAAACGTTTTTCAGGATAATTTCAGAGCGATGCTCGTTCAGATTAGCGTGAAGATGGTTTCACTGCACGGTTGCAGAGATCCAAGCAGTTCGATCGTTTATCAGTGATTCCAGATTTTGACAGTAGACACAGTAGCTGTTTGGTTGATAAACAGCAGTAGGCGTGACATATGCTTGGTAAGCATAAGAGCAGAGGAGTCCAATGACGAAGGTTTAGGCCATTGCGAACTATACCTTAGATTAGGTCTGTGTTTAGGGTGTTTATTTTGTATTCTGTTCAGTTAAGATGACACAATTTTGACACCACTTTGAACTATAAGCGTTAAGATTCTACCTACATAATTACCAATATACATATGACCTGTCAATTACTTTGGAATTTAACTAAGACCTCGAGACTTAACTTGAACCTAATCCAATCTCAAGATTAGTTTGTATTTAGGAAGCTTATTCTGTATTCTGTTCGATTAAAATGAAACAATTTTTACATCACTTTGAACTATAAGCGTTAAGATTCTACCTGCACAATTACCAATATACATATGACCTGTCAATTACTTTGGAATTTAACTAAGACCTCGAGACTTAACTTGAACCTAATCCAATCTCAAGATTAGTTTGTATTTAGGAAGCTTATTCTGTATTCTGTTCGATTAAAATGAAACAATTTTTACATCACTTTGAACTATAAGCGTTAAGATTCTACCTGCACAATTACCAATATACATATGACCTGTCAATTACTTTGGAATTTAACTAAGACCTCGAGACTTAACTTGAATCTAATCCAATCTTAAGATTAGTTTGTATTTAGGAAGTTTATTTTGTATTCTGTTCGATTAGAATGAAACAATTTTTACATCACTTTGAACTATAAGCGTTAAGATTCTACCTGCACAATTACCAATATACATTTGACCTGTCAATTACTTTGGGATTTAATTAGGATCTGATCCAATCTCAAAATTCACGTCTAAATTCTGGTCTAAATCTCTACTGGGTTCCTCTGCTCTTGAGATTTCCAAAAATGTGCAACCGAATGGATAAGGAACTGGCGAATTTTTCGATTAGAATTTCGAGCAGAATTGCTTGGATGACTGTATTTTAACGAGAAAATTTTAAACGATCAGCTCTCTCCAGCGCTGACAGTGCTTGCCAATAAATTCCCTCTGATCATTCGATTCTTCCAGGACGAACATATTCGCCACGGTAAAGCTACGCAAAACGAAGACGAACGATCGCTCGGCGCCGGCGTTGTCATGAGATAAGCTCTTCATCTAGATTACTCTCTATCGTGTGATGTTAGACGTGTCGACAAAGGTGGTGCCTCTCTGTCTGAGAGACAACAGTTCCTTTCGTGCAAATGCTACCGAAGCGACTGTCTCGAAGATCCTTTCTTTCTCTCACGGCGTGGATGTCCGTCCAACGAACACGTCTGACTTTAATCCTCTATGACTATTCTTCCGGCTACCGGGAACGGGGATTCGCACGAGCGACGTCTCTGTTTGCGTACGAGTGATATTCGTTGCAGCAGCTTTCCCTGAAAATTTATCGCGATATCCCTTCGGAGACGTTCGAGAGATCGGCAAAGTGATTCGATTTGTCAATTTATCGTGCAGCTTAACGCGGACTGATGATCGTAGAATTATTAGGGACCATTGCGCGATCAGTAACGACACGTTTTCTGTATAACGAGCATAAACTCGCGTGAGAGTGAGCATTTCTTATCATAGAGGATTGAAGAGTAGTCCTCCGGCTAATAAGGACCAGAAAAATGTCTCCAGGTAAGGCGTTCGTCAAGCGTTTCTTCCGCGCTATTATCCTAATCGAACATTCCTGAGTAAAAGATTATTCGTGTAACGTAGTCGACTTAAACATCGTGTTCATTTATTCGTATTTCACGCGAAAGTTGTGCGTTCTACATTCCTGCAGTGCCTGTACGTGGTACAGGTATTGTAATATACAGGGTGTATATATCGAGTTGGCCAACAAGTAGTGTCTATGAAATTCGTGGTCGAGATATTATGAACACGAATTCTTTCTATTAATATCCGATCGAATAATTTTTTTAAGGTGTAAGGTGTGCTTCTATTCGTTTCGTTTTCTAATAAATCGGGGCGTATATTAATCGTCGCGTATATTATATATTTTATCGAAAAGCTATTTTATGTTAAATGTACGAGCATTACTTTTCGACCAACCTAAAATGCATACTATGTACGCTCATACGCAAAAGTATTTAAACGTTTCCGTGTGCTGTTTCTAAAATGTGACGTATGCATTAAATTGACATATTTAAGAAGATAATGGCGCATATAGCAAGAAGAATCTTTCCAGATTTCAAAATAAAGTTAAAAGTTTCGATATAACCTTGATTCATTTCCTCTTACGATAGTTATAAGGCTATTCCGTTTAACTCACTAGCGCCACCACGACCTCTATCTCCGTGATAAGTGTACCGTAAATATTTCTCTCGTTCTACCGATATAATCTTGGGATATTTCTTACTACACGTCCCACGTCCTTTTAAACATTTTGGTTTAACAAGTACACGTATCTCCATTGTTGAACGTAGCGAATGTAAGCATTCGAATGCGTATGAGCGTACATATGTTTATATAGTATGCACCGATTAGTACATACTATACGCAAACTACTCCCGTAGCTGTCCCACATTTTCCATAACAGGTGAGCAATTTCACGTGCCGCGAGTTGCACCTATTCCGCAAATTAGTTCGCAGGGCTTCCTCGTTCCGTC